CGTTGTTACGACTGAATCGACTTTTCAATTCTCTATCCAACGATGCCAAAACGAATTCTGTGGCTTGAATGGTTCTTGAGAAACTTCGAATAAAGACCATTTAGTTATCTCTGGAATGATGTAAAAACGAGCGTTCTTACTCATTTTGCTTCCGAGAAACATGCAAAACGCAACGAAAAACATAAAATTTTGCAATAATCTTGCGCCACCCTTGCACAAAACGATGATCATTTTTGTAATTTCATACTACATACATACTAAATGCATAAAAACGATAAATTTCATTGATTCTGTTGCTCTTTAAGCATCAAATTTAAGTACGATACTTGTTTCTAAACCTATTTTCAAGAGTTTTAGAGCGGCTTCGTCTAATTTCCCCCTATTTTACTCCTGAAGAGCTTTCAACAACTTTAAGACAGTTATTTGTTCATTTTGTGTTTGTTGTTCACCATGTTGATTTTCGATGAAATCTATTTATTTGGTATCGCAGATTAAGTTGTAGCATTTAAAAGGCATTTTTACCAGAAAACGTATAAACTTACATGGAATGCAACACTGGTTGTCTAAAGTATATTAACTTTAATGTCATTTTGTCTGTCATTCAGACCGTTTGTTTAGTGGTGGGTAAGAAACACTGTGCGCGAATCCATCCGTAAAAATTCGGAAAAATTGCGGCATTTTTCCAGTTTTAGGCGACAAAATGCAGATTTTCCTTAAAAGTAAGTTTTGCGCACTACTTTGTCGCATTTTCCCGGTCAGCAGTGTGATTTTAGCAAAATTATGCGGTGTTCAATAGTGAAATATTTTTGACGTTTGTTGAGTTTTTGTTGGCCACCTTGCCACATCTTTTCTTTGGGGCGTGACTTGAGGACGTTGCATCTGGTTGATCTATCTGATTTGGACGCAGATTTTAACAGTAAGTACGATTGTTTAAAACTTTAATACTTTAACGGCTTGGACCTGAACAAAACAAGTCTTGCAAACATTTTTTGAACCATAGAAACATTTCTAAATCTATTTTATTTCCAATTAAACTAATAAAAGTACTTGAGAAGGTTAAATTGCAAAGCAACAAGGCTGTACGTTATGGCATGACTAATGATCTGCAACATAGAGAATACTGAACGTTTTTACTAGCAAATTTTAAGGCAAATCTGGCCTAAAGTTCATTCTCTTACCGAGGGGACGCTTCTTCGGTGCATCTGCAGAATGTCGCCACATACTAAGTTGGGTTTATAGTTGGTCAAATTATTTATTAAGGCTTCTACCTAAAATGATTACAATGCATATACAGTATGAATGCTTTATTTGCGGTTGGTTAAAACTGCGGAAAGTTTTCCCTTTATAACTTTGAAACTCACCAAATACGACTCCTTCTTAGTCAAGCGGCTGATGGGATACTTATGCAGATAAGTAAGAAAATCATCGTTCTAAAACGCCAAAGTCCCATACTTACTATCAATTTGGTGTTGCTATTGAACCACCGTAAAACTTACGATATTGTAAATGTTGTTGGCTCTCTTGACCACATAAAACGAAGCGCAGACAACGTAAAAGCTCTGAATCACACCGGTAGTAGCGCCTCGTTTCAGCTCCAAATCCCAATGAATAACCAGAATTGAAACGTACAGAAACAGGAAAACTTGACAAATTATCACGTAAGTGAAATGCCAAGCCAGAAAAAGTTTGGTAGTGTAAATGAGGACATGATTTTGGTAGTTAATCACACACGAAGAGTAGTAGTTCTGATACGAGCGCAGTTTATCGGCAAATGCTGGGTTTGTGCAGTTTTTCCGAGTTTCGAGCGTTTTTTCCATGAGTCGAAGCAGCTTGTGGAAGATCTGCTCGTAGACTCCCAAGGCGCTCACAGTGTGCATAGAAGCAGCTGCTCCATTGATTATATTCAAATAATAGGACATTGATTGCGTTAGATTTACATATCCGAACCCATCATCCGCTAGTCGAGAAGCCACCGTTACTATTCCTATAACATTACTTAAGATCAGAATGAAGAGGAGACTGTATTGGTGCCTTTCAACGTCTCTTGCAGTTAGTAACGTTGGTATTCCATAACGTTTGCGCTTGGAAAGCAGCTCGACTATTCCGCCAAAGTATTTTACACACAAGTGGCGATTTGTGAGCATCGACAGGGTGAGGATTAGAGTCCAGGATTGCGTCAAGAAGCCGAACATTTCCTGTATGAAGCCATCACTTTCATAGAACGCGTAGTTCCAAATGTAGAAGTTATTTATCCTGGAAAGTACTTTTTGAAGCAAACGCCTTTCAACCCCAAATTAAGTTACCAGGAGAAAAATACAGGCGAGCACAGCAAGGCATAGTAATAGAGCCTCCAGGTGGGGCTCCACATTCGGGGCTTCAGCACGTTTTTGTCCCGATGCGGGCATTCGGAGGTGAACAACACTCCCAAGTTTAGGATTATTTTAAAAGAGCAAACTAAGCAATCGGATACTTTGGGGAAAATTATAAATGGATATTTCCAGCTGAGCCTCATGACTATTACTCATGGGGAATCGTTCAACTAACTAGACTTGGATGGCTGGAGTCATTTGAGGCAAATGGGGCAAATTTATTTGATTTTCTTAGTAATGTTGTTGGTTTAGCGGTTGGGGGGAACTGGAATGGGGTTGATTAATAATAAATTACGCACAGAAATCCGAAGTGTTTTGTGTGTTAAAGCTATGAAAAATTGTTTCAGGACTCTGAATACGGATTATGTACAATCTGGGTTTTAGTGTATTTAATTAATTTAATGAGAGATTATGGTCTTTAGCCGACGATTTCTTACTTATTATTGACCCAAACGCTTTATAAATGCATATTCGCGACTTTCTTCAGTCGAAAGCAATAGATTGAGCTAAAAAAAACGCATGTAAAATTTCGTCGGTCGATTTTTTGAAAAAATTAAAATTTTCTGCAAATGTCTAAAGTTTTACTTCATTTTGAGCTCACGGACGCGAGCAATGCATTGAACTCATTGAAAAACATGGTAGAAGTTTCAGATTCGAAATAATAGACATTTTTGCCACATTTTAAGCGTTTTTTGAACGTTTACGATCTTTAACTGACGATTTCTTCCTTATTATTGACCCAATCACTTTACAAATGCATATTTCTGACCTTCCTATGTCGAAAGGAATCGATTGAGCTCAAAAAACTGGCATGTGAAATTTTGAGTTTTGGTCAAAATTTTTCCAAGGGTGGGAGTCGATTTTTTGAAAAAATGAAAATTTTCTCAAAATGTCTGAAATTTTGAATCATTTTCAGCTCACGGACGCGCGCAATGCATTGAACTCATTGAAAAACATGCTAGAAGTTTCAGATCCGAAATAACAGACATTTTCGACAAATTTTAAGCGTTTTTGAGCGTTCACGATCTTTAACCGGCGATTTTGACCTTATTATTGACCCAATCACTTTATAAATGCACATTTCTGACCTTCTTACGTCGAAAGGAATCGATTGAGCTAAAAAAACACGCATGTGAAATTTTGATTTTTGGTCGAAATTTTTCTAAGGGTGGAAGTCGATTTTTTGAAAAAATGAAAATTTTCTAAAAATGTTTTAAATTTTACATCATTTTCAGCGCACGGACGCCAGGAATGCATCGAACTCATTGAAAAACATGGTAGAAGTTTCAGATGCGAAATAATAGACATTTTCGGCACATTTAAAGCGTTTTTTGAGCGTTTGCGATCTTTAACCGACGATTTCTTCTTTATTATTGACCCAAACACTTTATAAATGCACATTTGTGACCTTCTTACGTCGAAAGGTATCGATTGAGCTCAAAAAACACGCATGTGAAATTTTGATTTTTGGTCGAAATTTTTCTAAGGGTGGAAGTCGATTTTTTGAAAAAATAAAAATTTTCTGAAAACGTTTTAAATTTTACATCATTTTCAGCGCACGGACGCCAGGAATGCATCGAACTCATTGAAAAACATGGTAGAAGTTTCAGATCCGAAATAATAGATATTTTCAGCACATTTTAACCGTTTTTTGGGCGTTCACGATCTTTAACCCACGATTTCTTCCTTATTATTGACCCAAACACTTTATAAATGCGCAATTGTGTCCTTCTTGCGTCGAAAGGAATCGATTGAGCTCAAAAAACTCGCATGTGAAATTTTGATTTTTGGTCGAAATTTTTCTAAGGTTGGAAGTCGATTTTTTGAAAAAATGAAAATTTTCTCAAAATGTTTTAAATTTTACATCATTTTCAGCGCACGGACGCCAGGAATGCATCGAACTCATTGAAAAACATAGTAGAAGTTTCAGATCCGAAACAATAGACATTTTCGGCACATTTAAAGCGTTTTTTGAGCGTTCGCGATCTTTAACCGACGATTTCTTCTTTATTATTGYCCCAAACACTTTAYAAATGCAYATTTSTGACCTTCTYACGTCGAAAGGWATCGATTRAGCTRAAAAAACWCGCATGTRAAATTTTGATTTTTRGTSGAAATTTKTCYAAGGGTGGRRGTCGATTTTTTGAAAAAATRAAAATTTTMTCAAAACGTCTTAMATTTKACATCATTTKGAGCACACGGACGCGACGAATGCATCGAACTCATTGGAAAACATGCTAGAAGCTTCAGAGTCGAAATAATAGACATTTGCGGTACATTTTAAGCGTTTTTGAGCGTTCATGATCTTTAACCGACGAGCTCTTTCTTGTTATCGACCCAAACGCTCTTTAAATGCATATTTGTGGCCTTCTTAGGTCGAAAAGAATCGATTGAGCTCAAAAAACTCGCACGTGAAATTTTGATTTTTGGTCGAAATTTTTCTAAGGGTGGAAGTCGATTTTTCGAAAAAATAAAAATTTTATCAAAACGTCTTAAATTTGACATCATTTTGAGCACACGGACGCGAGGAATGCATCGAACTAATTGAAGAAGGTGGAATGGTAGAAGTTTCAGATCCGAAATAATAGACATTTTCGGCACATTTTAAGCGTGTTTTAGCGTTCAGGATCTTTAACCGACGATTTCTTCCGTATTATTGACCCAAAAACTTTATAAATGCATGTTTGTGACCTTCTTACGTCGAAAGGAATCAATTGAGCTCAAAAATCACGCATGTGAAATTTTTATTTTTGGCTGAAATTTTTCAATTTTTCAAAAATTGTCTTTTCGACGTCAACCGATTGCAATTTTCCGAGATGCAGTTTTTATAGAAAATCGTTCGTTTTTCCACAAATTATCAAATTTTCAAATCGGCCCGATATTAACAGTTGCGCAGACAATTTCCAAGTGCAAAAAGCTGTTTTTCCAAAAGAAAATCGACGTTAAATCCACACAAGAAAACATTGATACCATTTATGATACTAAAATAAAGCACATTTTATGTAAAAGATAAATTTATATCTAATCTCTATTATGCTAAATTCACTCAACATCAAAACATTTAAAATTAGTTGGGCTTTAGGTAAAATATCCGTATAGGAATGCTACAACAGGAAACAATAATACATTTTCGAAATTATAGGAATCGCATTCAACCAATCTAAATCGTTCACAGTGTTTAAGGCCACGTATCACAAACCCATTTGGAGGATTCTTCGAAATTTTAAATCCTGTTACAGTTGCGCATTTGCTTTTGGCTAAGATTCCTCCAAAAACTCTTATCACAGTTGTAAAACCGTCATGTCATATTAGTTAAATAAATAAATAAACAATGTGTTCTATTCCGTTGTAAATTGATGCTTTGTAAACGTAAGGAACACCTAAAAAGCAAAAATAGTTAGACAGTCAAACCCTGTATATTAGGGACAAATACCTGTTCCAAACTGCTTTGGCCCAAGGAATAATCCTCGATGTTCAAGTCTCTTCTTTTCGCTTCTTCCAGCAGGCCGAACATCTTCGACCAAGGCACGCTTTTATCGCTGATATAATACGTTAATAGTTCTTCATGTTTTTCGCGCAACTGCGAATTTGGAAAATTGTCCCTAATAAAGTGTTCAATGGGTTGCGTTTCCGAATGGTGGGCTGCTGAGCTGTTTTCCGGCTTCTTCACCTTAATGGTTATCGTGTAGCCTTCCGCAAACTTGCTCTTCAGATGCTGAGTGGAACCCAAACATTTGAAGTTTCCATTAACCATGATGGCTAGACGGGTGCAAAGCGCCTCGCATTCCTCCATGCTATGCGATGTAAGAACGATCGTTTTACCACTATCGCGGACGCGACATAAAGCGTTCCACAGATAACGTTTTGTCGCAGGATCCATACCTAGATTGAATTTATCGATGTTTGGATAGTTCGGGTTTAGATCAACATGTCTTACCAGTGGTGGGCTCATCCAGGTAGACCACTGGAGGGTCTCCGATCAGTGCAATTGAGGTGCTTAACTTCCTCTTGTTTCCGCCGCTGAGTTCCTTAACTTGCTTATCCAGATGTCGGCTGAAGTTGAAGTCCAAAGCCAACTTTTCAGCAAGGCTGTTGCATTGCTGCAGCGGGATTCCTCTGAGCAGAGAAAACATCTGCAGCGTTTCCCTTGCGGTTAAGTCGTCCAACAGGGCATCGAATTGAGGACAATAGCCGATCAATTTCTGCACCTGTTTTATCTCGGTTTTTATGCTGTTGCCTTGGACCCATGCGTCTCCATGCGAGATCGCCTCGTCTCCCGTAAGCATTTTGAACGTGGTCGTTTTGCCAGCTCCGTTGATCCCCAACAGGCCGAAACACTCGTAGCTCTTAACTCCCAAGCAAAGGCCGTTAACGGCTAGGAAATCCTTGTAGTATTTGGTCAAGTCGCTCAACACCATCGTGTAGTTCTGGAACAGTTCGCTTTGCGAAGTGTTTCTGATCTGGTGCTTTTCTGCCAGAACATCAGAGTCCTCATTGATGACATCTTTGGGGTTTTTCGGGAAATTGGACTGTTGCATTTGGTACACGATTTTTGAGAACAGTTTGTACTCTACGATGAGGAGGGCCAGTAGTAAAACGGCACCCACTGTGAGCGAGTAGAGGAGGTTTCGGCCTATTCCCGGAGACTCCCACTGGTAGTAGTCGTCGGAGAGTCCTAAAAAGTGTCTAAAGTCATGCGGCGTTTTTGGGTTCTCTTGGGCTAAGTTCTGACCACAACCCTATCATAATCGACATCAACGAACAGTACACGAACAACCCCT